ACACGTAGCCTGCTCCCACAAGGACGGTTGCCATCAGATTTACTGGAAAAGTGAGACCTTTCCCCTTCACGAGAAACATGCCTGAGGGGAGAAATTCCCAAGTGTTTCCAAAACACCTTTTCTCACTTCCTAGCTATTCTCTTTTGCTAGACCACATTGAGGTAAACATCTTTTATCTCACTGATGTTCAGTGCTACAATCCAGACTCCACCAGAGTACATGCAGTGACTACTTTTAACTTCAGTTTGGCTGAAGCCTTTACCTTTCCATCAACATCTCCTGTAACCCACTCTTCCCCCCAAAATTTGCACCATTAGATGAACTTCTTACAATAATTTTCCCCTGTTAGAGTTGGAGCTTGACGATAAGGGCTGTTTTAGCAGCAATCTTTTGAAAAGCTTGGGTAGATAGTACAGCAATTCATGGATGATTTATTATACTTTAGGCAGCTGCACTGTATTTGGCTTGGCTTAGCTTGACTTGGGTATATCCATCAGTATTTCCTGGGTTCCATGAAATATTTGCTGTAAAGTGTGACATTTCAGCTTTTCAGAATTTGGGTTTTGTCACAACAAAATGATATCTCCCTACCAGCCTTGCCACCACTGGCACCACGCCGTTGCTGGCAGTTGCCTCCTACTTTTATTCTAGAAAGATGAAGGATCCTAAAGGAAAAGTTTTGCTCTAGTTTGTAGAATTGATCGCATTTCAGAACAAAGCTCTTACCGTTCCAGAGCAGTTAGGGCCATCACTAAGCAGAATTTCACAAATTGCCAGATCTGAAACTTTCTTTGATCTATGAGTTATGGGACTTGGTGAGCCCAGAAAATCATGCAGGCTGGTGCTGACGTGGAATAAGTTAGGAGAAAAAAACTTGGTATTTTGTAAAAATGTTGTTGACAAATCATTAGTTTGAGCTTCAAAAGATGCTGGGATAAAAATGGAAATTTTTTTGATGTTTCATGCAGAAAAAAAAAATATTGGCTCGTCCCACATCTTATACGGCCTGAATCAGAAATGGGCAAAAGTCAGGAGTTTGCAGCTGCGATACAGGAATTTCATTTATCATCAAAAGGAGAAAGAGCTCCTTCATGCTGAGATCAGAACTGGGCTAACTGCACCATTTCCTCGTCCAGCCTTCGTTAGGGTGTTCCAGCGGCTGGGAGCAGTGATTTATTCCATCACTTTACCCGAACCCTGGTAACACATGTGGATCATGATGAGGCCAGGCCACATGGCTTTTTTTTTTTTTTGTCCAGCACTTGTACATCATCAGACTTAAGGGTGTTCTGGCCCAGAGTACTGCAGTGATAGTCGTGATGATGCTGATAATAACAAAGGAAATGATCAAGGCAAAGTTTGTAAGTAGAGATGACATATATATATATATATTTTTTTTTAAGTTTACTGGTATATTTGAGAAAATCAGGCAGTTTTCAGTGATGTGAGCCCCTCTTCAGGTCTGGAATAGCAGCACCAGACTTCAAAGCTACGTGTAGGATAAGAACAGCTTCTCAGAACTTGAGTCGATAGGTCTTGGATCATTTCCAAAATAAAACCTAGTGGGTATTTGTGGGATGGGGAGGGGGGGTGTTAGTCACAGAGAAAAAGGCAAGTTAGTCATCTTTTGGGGCAAAGAGAAAGCTACTTTTTTCTAAAATATATCTATATGCACGTAAAAAAATGTGTGGTGTATATAAAAAGAAAGATTTTGATATTATGACCTATAATTATCAATCCCTTATGTATAACTAATCTATACAACATTTTGCATATATAGTAATACAGTAAGAAACTTGCTGATCTCTCGATCTACTTTATACCAACATTGCCAGTTACGTTTCCAAACTGGTGGAAAACCAAAATGCGCCTGTTAGTGCTGAAAAGGATCAGCGCTTCATTACTTGTTATTCAATAAACAGCGTTGTCCCGACTGCCGAGGCCGCCCTAGACAATGTGCCAGCACCAGCAGAGCTGCTCCAACCAAGCAGTTGGCCTGGCTGGATGTGTCTGGAAGGTGCCACCACCCCCCGTCAAACCAGTGCTGTGATGAGCACACACACCATAACTCAACGCAACATCATGAGCAGATGAAGTTGAGGATCTTGGGGTCCCAGTCTGGCAACCCAGCTGCCTTGTAGCCTACAGCTGCTTGGTGAACCCATCACGCATCTTCCAGCCCCGCTTCCCAACATATGGTCTACAATTTGACCAGATGTGCCCCGAGGCACCCAGGGGTAAGGACTTTCTTGCAGTGGTGTGTTGATGTAGCACCCAACACCATGGTCAGAGGGATGCTGCGCGCCAGCTGCAGCTCCCTTCGTGCCTGTGGCTGGTAAGGAAGGGGATGGGATGCAAGAGCAAGGCTGGAAAGAGGAGAAACTCAGCCCCTTTTGTCCATGCGTGTGCAGACACACACACACGAGGAGGTTTAGGACAGCGGCTCCGTCACAGGGAGGTGGAGTCGGGGACGGGAGCGTGCGAGCGCTGGGGGCACAGGCAGGGAGCAAAACAACTGCTCGGAGAAGGTGACTGCGGGAGGGGAGGGGAGAGGGCTACAATTGGTACCAGATGCCCTCAGAAGCTAATGACCTGACAAACGCTGTGCTCATAAAACAAATTCTTTAAAAAGGAAGCAAATGGAAATATAAGCTAGTGAAAGAATTTGCAGCAGCTGCCCTGAAACCATTTCTCACTTCATAAACAGGTCTGCATTGAAAAAACAGACCCTTTCTTCTTGTTCTCCTTTGTGGTCCCCTCCCGTGCCCACCGGCTCTTTCAGGGCTGCGGCCTGCAGGTTTCCACCGTGTCTTTGGCTCGGTGGACTTGTCCAGAGTCAACAGCACATTGCGTTCCCTTAATGTCCCTGTCGGCACTGATTTTCTTTTTTTTTTTTTTTTTTGT